TTATTGATTCGTCATTGTAGCAGGACATTAATAAAATGATACATCAAGGTAGCAGAACATAAACAACATGCAAAAATCAGTGACTGAAATGCACAAATAATGATTAGTAAAAGTTATGGTGGAAGGAAAACCTCATCTACAGAAGCAACACAAAGATTAAATATAAAGAAATTCACAAGGAAGTACTCAAAACCTATATGAAGAAAACTATAAAACACTCCTCAGACACAAAGTCAGAATTATTCAGATGACAGGTCAAACAAAAAGTTCTAATAAAAATACCAACAAACTGGTCCTCCCTGGTGCTGAAGCGGGTTAAAGCACAGCACTAAGAAGTTAAAGCCACTTCAGCATGAATTCGATCCCCGCCACAGAGGTGACCCACATGGCATTGCAGACATGCCCACTGCTGACATGCCCCCTGCTCCCCTCAGCAGTGTACTTCATCGATCTGCCTGTTCTGCTCCCCACTCCGTCTCTGGTGAATCCTCTCACCACCCCTGAACTTTGGCCTGTACCAACAGACTCTCTAATGGAGTTAAGCTAGTAACTAAAAAATTTATATGGAATTTTAAATATGCAAAGATAGCTAGACACACACTGACAAGAAAGAACAATGAGTGAAGACACTACTACCCGAAATTAAAACACTATGAAGTCGCTATCGTGAGGAGTTACTGAGGGACTGACTACTGGGGTGGAACTGGAAGACCTGAAATAGAACCAAATACATATAGAAATTTAGTATATGATTAGGTGATATTGCTAATCACTGGGCTTAGAGTAATTTAATTAAATTGTGCTTGATCAATTGGGAAAAAATAAGATAAATTCATGTAACACACAAAGGAAAAAACTTCCAAGGAAACAGGAATCTAGGCCTCAAACTATATACATCCTAGAAGAAAGCATGAACAAATTTCTCTATAACTTGGCTTCCTTTCAACTATGAAATCCAGACATAATAAAGATATTCATATATATATATATATATATATATATATATATATAAAGAACAAATAAAAATAAAGTGAAATGTTAGTAACAGGCAAAAATCTGGATAAAGAATATATACATATTAATATAGCCTTTACACAAATTTTAATGTATTTGTTTTATAAATATCTGTATTCCTTGAACTATTTTCATAGGTTTTGATGATCATAACATTATTTCAAAATCAAATTCTTAAAACACAAAAGGTTATGACCTAAAGGATATATATGGATATGTATACACACAAACACATGTATGTATGTATACATATTCTCATTCAAAAATGTACATGTCCCCAAACTATCTAGTAATTGCTATTTCTAAGCAAGTGAAATTGGAGATAGCATTACTTATGCATGGTCTATTTGTTTCTCTTTATTTATTTCAAGAGCACTTCTTTTGGCATAAGAATAAAATTGCTATTAAAAAAGTTCCTCAAACACTCTATGATAGTGAAAAAATGGAGATAATCTAGATGTCATAGATGAATGATTAAACAGAAAATGACAAGTTATTCAGTTGATTCAGAATTGACTGTACCACTGTGACACTTTAACAAAACTATCCTACCTCTGAAATGGCAATTGACAAAATAACATAGGTTTTCCTATGTGCACATTAAAAGATGCGCCTAAGTAGGTATATGTTTTATAATTATGGTTTTTAATGCCCTCTACACAAATTGGCAAAGAGAGGGCAAGTAGCAGTAATTTCAGTTCCTATTCTTTGTGCTTCAATGTCATTCAAATCTCCACTCTTGGAGATGGGAAACGCAGTTCCTCAGGACACTTAGCACTCTGCACTTCGTAGCACGTGGCGCAAATGAAAAAAATAGCATAATGGGATTTTTGCTTTTTATACACAAAACTTTTGTACCTTCCTCCCACCCCAGTGTTAAACAATCATAACATTGATGATTTAGTAAGGCTGGGAAAAGGGAAATTAACATACTTCTTCCTTATAAATCAACTTCTAACAAATGATGAGCCTTAGTAATAAATTTCGAAAGTATAGCTATTTGTCTACTTTTTGTGTTACAGTGTGATCTTCTGTGATGTTGATTGAGCTAAGGCCAAAGAGAACACGGTATGCAATCACACCATATGACCTTGTAAGAAATCTTGCATGACGTATACAAACCAACCCAGGGCAGATCAAGAATGGCAGGAAGAACAAATGTAGGAAATCCAAATGGAATAGAGAACTTAGCTCAGAGCCTTGTTTCCTTAAATGTTTTTACAGTTCAAAATACATATTGATACGCTTATGTGTAAATGTTAGAATATTCATAAACATTCATGAAAATATGTAGATTTCCAGTAAAAAATACTAGCATGGATTTTAAAGTTTTATACCAACCACAAGGTTTATATCTTCACAGGTATGTATTGATTTGCATATTTTGAATAGCAAAAAACATTAAAGGTTATGAGTATTCAGTCATTATTTCTCTAAATTTTGCCTTATATCTATTTTTAGTATTATATCTTTCTATGTCTCCCATTTGAACACCCTTAATCTAACACTTGTCTCTTTACCTATTTTTGCATTTCCTTCTTGTTTTTCTAATTGCCTTCTAAGTTATTTACCATTCACTAATATGCAGCTGTGTCAGCTGTATTTATTGTCCTGTTTAACTTATCCAAGCTACATATTTTCTGTTTTTAATTTCTATAAGTTGCATTTTGTTCTTTAAAAACAACAACTGGCCAATTTTGATTGACCCTGTTTCCCTTATCACATTTTAAATACATTTAGTTTTCAAGTGCATTACAGATAACTATACCCTGTGTATTCTAATTCCAATATAGAAAATCCTTTATTTGGGTATGATAGGGTTCTGGGGGCTGGTTTTCATTCATTATGGATTATTTTCCTATAATACATAGAAAAATTTAAAAAAATTTCAATTCACATTTCTGCAAGTTTATCTCAGAAGATCCTTTGAACCTAAATGTAAAATGTATTTCTCCAAAAAGCATTTGCTTTTGCTTCTATTTGGAACTATCAAGTCTATGCATGCTTTAAACTATATTTTTAGGTTGGGTTTTTTTCATGATATTGGAGCAGAGTTAATACTACCCCAAATCTCATCTAAGCATAAGATACTGTTGTTTTTTACTTTTCTAGCAGCTTACCCATTCATTAGAAATTATTTATATACCATATTATTTATAAATTATAAAATTATTTATAAACTATATTATTTATAAACTATAGAATTATTTATAAATTATATTTTAGCCAGTTTTTAAGAGTGGCCATATATGGAAGGGTTTCTCTGTGAATCTTATTTGCCATATGTATTTTACTGTATTTTATTTTCCTGATCTACTCAGGTTGCAGTATCATGTAGATTCAATGACTGAAGTGCATACTAGAAATATACTCATCATCTATTACAGTATCTTATATATATTTTAAGGGCACTACCAGTAAAGCAATTTGCCTTCATTGCTTTAAATTGCTTTGGCTCTTGTTTAGATACTTACCATCTTATATTTTGGAATCCATTGTCAAACTAAAAATATCTGTGGGGTGTTGACAGGTTATGTTTATACTGTCTCTGTGTGTAAAATCAGGAAGAAATGAATTACTGCATTTTAACGTAACCATTTGTACATTTTGGCTTAATAATTGTGTTGGGTTTTTCCCTAATGAAGGGCATTTTTTTTTCCATTATAATTTCTAACTAGCCAATTAATTATTTTGGGATTACTAGTTAATTTGAAAGACATGCTGTTTTCAATATCCTCTTTGTAAAAGTGACAATTGTTCTTAAGGGTTTTTGTATGTGTATCATGGCATGAAAGGCTGCCAAAACGAAGCTTAATAAAATGATAATGCTTCGATTAATGACGTTTCCAAAATAGCCAATAATACAAGGACAATTTTTGCTCTATAGACTGAGTAGCCTTTAAGGAGGGAATACCGAATACTCCTTCCTCCCTTACTTATTGGAAAAGAAATGAAATTATCATGATTCTTGCGGCAAACAATCAAAAAATCTCGAAATATATGTCTTCTAGGAATTCAACACCACTATTCAGAATCTAGGTAGTGTATATCTTATTGAAGTATCTAATCACCACTATTCCTAATAAATAAAGCGCAAATAAATAATAATGTGTGTAATAAAGGGTGTCCACAGTTGTTATTATCTGGGTCATTCTCCAGATTTACAGCAAAAAGTACACTCCACTCTATACTCCATCCCGGAGGTAGAACAGTTTCATCTCCACAAAAAATTGCAAAACGCTGACAGGCTCGTCTCTTTTTTAATCTGAAGTCAATTACAAACCTCCAAACTCAAAAGCTATTTAACGTTACCACCCCACATCCATCTTCGTGTGCCTTGTACATTTTAGATCTCAACAGATATTCGTTGAATTTTAACTGCGAGGTTCTGAGGGTGAAAGTTCCAAGGTTAACTCCAGAACCCACGACAAAATAGAAAACTCTACACGCAACTTGTGAGCAAGTGAACACTAAGGGGGTTTTCTCTTAAAGGTTTCCCGCCTCGGCTGGGTCTCACAAACTAGTATTTTCTAGTTCCCCCAAAGGCTAATTCCACTCAATGGTTATTTAGAAAGCAAGACAAAACATAAAAGTTGCAATATAACACAGGCGGTCCCTCAGCAAGGCGAGACATTGCCTTGTCTTGCTTGGAAAGAAACCCAAGCAATTAGTGAAAGATAATGCCTGCGTCTTTCATGTGCGAGTCTCTGGGAGCGGCCTCCGGAGCACTGCGGAGACCGCGCTCACCGGTCTGTAGAGTCCCGAGTGGGAAGCAGTAAACCATCTACAGCTCCGCAGACAGCCAACTCTCACAGAAAACGATTAGGTAGCTTCCCCCCCACTACCACGCCCCGGTTGCCTAGGTTATTGGTGTCGCACTCCTTTTACGTTCTCTTCCGGGAGGACGTAATCTTCCGTTCTCGGCGCGTGACGTAGCACGCTGGGGTATAAAGACGAGCCGCGCGGTCGACGCTTCCTCTCTCGTCTCACGGTGGGCTGTAAGCATGGCGCCGGTAAGTGAGCGTGGTGAGATGGGTGTCATGCTCCAAGGCGATCAATTTAGCCGCTCACAAGTGGGGACGTCTCATTGGAGATAAAGGGTTAGAAATGGATACTGCGTCAGGAGCGTAACCAAGGTGTTAAGGTTCTAAGTTATTTCCCGGAGACTCCTGGCGACTGCCGTGTTGTTCGTGGAGTTCGAACTGGACCGGAATTGCCAAAAGATGTGGTTCTGGGAGCGCCGGGAGTGGGACGGGAGGGACAAGGTTCTTTGCGCCGTGTTATGCCGATGCCACCGATTTTATATGCACGAGAAGGGGTGGGAATATTTGGTGTGTCTCAGTCTTGCAGGGCTGAGTTGGGCGTTCAAGTACTGAGCTCCGTAGTTTTAATATGCGAATGAGGTCCGTATTTGCAGTTTTTCAAACTTAAGTGAGTGTTGACGTTGTGACTACGACCCGCCCACTTGTTCGTCAATTAACAACCTTGGGATTTTCATAACTGACATTCTCAAGCGTAGTCAATTGTTAGCGAGCCTGCTGATCCGGTCAGGGCGGCGTCTTTGGCGACTCAGTGCGGGAGTTTAAATGTTTAATTTTGAGCGTCAGAGCAGCAAGATGTCTCCAAGTTGATCTCTGGATTGAGTGGCAGTGTTTAAACGAATTGTAGAGCGACCACTGCGGTTTGTTTTTGTGTCCAGCTGCCCACTTAGAGTTCCTGGGATCACATGTGTCTGGTTCACATAAGGTTCTATGGAGTCCTGATACGGCATTCTTTTGGGTGCTGCCTCATTGTCTGTAAACCCATTTGGATGCTTCCCCAAGATTTCCTTCCCCAAGTTGGGTTTGTGCTTTGGCATTGGTGACTTTTTCATGGTTTGCAGACGCCTTTTCCCCATTATCTCGTGGAGTTTTAAAGGCTACCTTTTCCACCAAATTATTTGAATCTACTGGAATTATGATGTGCTAAGTTGACTAAAAGCTGGGTTGACACCAGGCACCTGTAAGCTCTTACCAATTTTAAATTTGAGGGGAGTCACAAGTTACTGAAGATTAAGTCCTGGTAAATGCTAATTTATTTGTGTGCTTTCAGTGACCATAGCAATATTTAACTTACGGGTATTGACTTAAAAGTAATTTTTTGAAAGGCTGCCAGATTATAGGAAAGAGTACCCCCTTTCCTTATATTAGGATTAAATTCTGTAGACAGGTATGTGAAATAGTATGTCTTTGCAGGTAATTAGACTAGGACTAGGTGGTCTCCCCTTCTTATCTGCAGTAATAATGGTGGTAATAATGTCCCATAGTAAACAGTAGCTTGATTACTATGTCCCATAGTAAACCTCTTATTTGTTAAGTCTTGGTTAGAGGTCACTTGGGTTTACCTAAGTAATAGGTTGTCCTTAATATTTTAATGCTTATACAAGCAGAATGCCTTCTGAAGGAAACTAAAAGTGGCTTACTATATTGCTTCCAAGTTTTGTGACTTTTGCATTTGTGAGGCCACTTCAATGGTGAAATGGAAAATTTAGTTTGTAGGAACACATTTAAAACCAAGTTAAGGAATGTGCCTATCATCCGACAGCCTGGCTAAAAGGGACAATCCAACAATTTTTTTTTTTAAATACTGTACCTTGATACTGTTTTAATTTCATGATACAGTTTTAGTTTTTTTTATTTATAAAGTAAACAGATAGAATGAGAAGTTACAATTATGTTAACTTTCTATAGCAGAAAGAGAAGAAACCTAAGAAGGCAACCTGGAAGTTTAATTTGGACCTTACTCATCCAGTAGAAGATGGAATTTTTGATTCTGGAAATTTTGTGAGTATCACTGCTTAATTTGTTTTGATCATTGTAGTAGAATTACTAAAGGTGACATGTGTGCTATTTGATTTTAACCTAAGCTCTATTCCTAGGGTACCTTCCCTAGTGAATATCTAGGGTTTTCTTCCCTAGTTTTGCATCTTTTCTCTTTTAAAATAGGAACAGTTTCTGCGGGAGAAGGTTAAAGTTAACGGGAAAACAGGAAATCTCGGGAACGTTGTTCACATTGAACGTTTCAAGAATAAAATCACAGTTGTTTCTGAGAAACAGTTCTCTAAAAGGTTGGTATTTGTTCTCTAAAAGGTTGGTGTTTGGCTTTCATAAATATTGCAGTGAAATTATGATAGTTGTGAAATATTTTCTAGACTAGTTCTAGTATTTTGCACATTGTCGAGTATTTTAATATTAGAACTTATTATAAGGAAGTTTGGTTTTGGAGGCAACCAGCGTAAATAATGTAGCATCTTGCTGGGGGTTTTCTGTTTATTTGACAAATACATTACACGACAGCTCTGTTGTAGAGCTAAGTAGCCCATCAATGAACTCAACAAAGTGTACTCAATGAAAAGCTTAATTTATAGTGGGAAGGAGGCGATGAAATGTGATATTAAGAAGTTAGTGCTTTTGAAACGTTTATTGTAATAAATAAAAACGTATTATATTTTTAGATTGGGTGATCAGGGAAAGTGTAATCTAAGTGGGGTGCAGGAGTGAGCCAGGCAAATAAGGAAATTGATCATTGATCATCTGATGTTAAAAACTAGTGTAGGGGGCCTCCCTGGTGGTGCAATGGGTTAGGATGCAGCATTGCAAGCTGGCTGCAGCAGCCTCTGTGCAAGTTAAATCCCCGGCCCCAGAGGTGACTACATCTTGTGGCAGACCTCTCCTGACCTGCCTGCTGCTCCCCTCAGCAGCGTACTTCGCAACGATCTGCCTATTATGCTCCCCACTCTTGTTTCTGGTGAAGCCTTTCACCGCCCCTGCACCTCTAGCTTGTACCCTAGTTCTGTATGAATGTATAAATAAATCTTAAAAATAATAATGATAAATAAGACCCAAAAAAAGACAATGTAGGAGCATATTGTTAACAGTGCTTATTAGCAGTTGTCACTGGAGGCTTAGGCGTTAAATTTCAGTACTATCACCTGCCAGGAAGCTAACCCACATACAGATTCTTATCTTCCCCCCACCTCTGTCTTTGGTGAATTGGTGAGTTCTCTCATCCACACTTCTGTCCTTACCCCAGGCATAAATCATTTAAAAAAAGAAAAAACACTGATGAAGGACAGGGAAACCTTCAAGGGAATGCTGGTGATTTTGCTGTTAAATGACTGGAGTGAGTAAATGAGGTGGAACTATTAACTGCTGTCTTATGTACTGGCTTCCAACATAAAGAAGAAAGATTTATTCAGGGAGATGGGGAAAATAAAGGTATTGGTAGGGCATAAACTGATTTTAAGGTAATTAGGATTGAGGCTTAGTGACTTAGCACAATGTTTGATAAAGTGGATGTGTCCTAGCACAATCTGGGGATGGGAAAGGTAAATACAATTGCATACTATGGTATATATCTACATTATGTATATACACACATACACACACACACACACATGATAATGGATTGTATTAATGCGGTGTGTTTATTTCAAAGGTATTTGAAATATCTTACCAAGAAATACCTTAAGAAGAATAATCTTCGTGATTGGCTTCGTGTGGTTGCATCTGACAAGGAAACATATGAACTTCGTTACTTCCAGATTAGTCAGGATGAAGATGGATCTGAATCTGAGGACTAGGTGAAGCCACCGCATGTTTGGTGGCTTTGCTTACTAAAAAACAAATGACTTTACAAGAGAAAGAGACATCTAGATACGGACTTAGTTTTGTGGTGAATAAAGTTGTGCTTTGAATGTTACTGCTTCCAATCTCAGTTATTTAAGTGCATGCTGTTTACATGATGCAGCTTTCTTTTGTTTTCATTGAGAGAATAGCATATAATATCTCTTAAGGTAGTGGGTTTTTCCCTAGGACTTCTGAAACCTCACTTGACAAATATCCTCAAAGAGTATGTATTTAGGAGGGAATAATGAAGAGTTTGTGGTCACAACTATAAATTTTCACAGTTTGAGCAGTATTTTTATGCTGAATCACTCATGCCATAACCTAATTACCTTACCATAGGGGCTCTGGATAACCATGGTACTTCTCTAAACCAGTTTCTTTTCATGTATTAGAAATCTCCAACCAGATGCTTGGCTAAAAAAAAGTTTCTAATAAAATCTTTTTAACACCATTCCTCACTGATACTTCAGAAAATGCTCCTCTATTTAAAATGCCTCAGTGGATATTCTTCCCCTACCCCCAAATTTTCTTTGGACAAGATGGGTTCAAATCACTAAGATGAGCGAGGGGAGAAAATAAGTGTGAGGAGGAAGATAACTAATTTAATATTAAGGTTGTGATATCCTGTCATGCTTTTTTCTACCTCTCATCAGAAAGTGTTGCTACCCCATGTACTTACATAGCTCATACCAAATAGGTCTCACTGTTATAAGTATTAATGTAGTTGGGCAGTGTTTGAAATAATGAGCTCTTCAAGGTGACCCTGTTGTCTAATGTTCAAAAGTGAGCTGAGTAAAGGGAATAGGGTACTCCAGTCTAAGGAAACGGAAAAGTTTTGAGGATGTGTGAAATCTTGTTGGCATAATGTACATCGGGAATGAGTAAGTGTTATGAGAAGACAAAAAGGAAACAGACATTAACCCAGGAAGGACAGAAGTCCATATATTTAGAACACAAGGAATGCAGAGAGAAGTACCTACTAAGAACAGAAGGCTGGCAGTGCCTTCTGGATGGCTGTAAAATAAAGTAAGGTGGTACAGACGGATACAATTTATAAAGATTTTCTGGTGATGTCTGTTGATGGTCTTTTGATGATAAGGGAGAAGGATGAAAGTGGCATACAACTGGTTAGATGAATGAGTTGGGGGAATAATTTCAGGGCATGCCGAATTTGAGGTCCAGAAGTTGTCCAGCATGAAGTTATATTTGGCCTAGAGCTCAAGAAGGACCTAGAAGATGTGTACTTGTCTGCACGTTAGTAAATGGTGTACAAGTGAAAGTAACTGAAGAGTAGTGAGGATTAAGTGTGGCAAACACTTGTATCCCTCCTCTAAGCTAATCTTTCAAAAACATTTACAGACTTTCAAAGTCCAAGTATATAGAGAGAAGTCTAGTACCCTCCATTATGTCTCTGTCCCACTGGAGGTAGAAAAGGTTAAAAGACGAAGTTATGAGCTAATTCATTTTTAAAAAGATAAAACAGTTAAATGATGGGTTGCAACATTTGCTTTTCTCCACATTGCTTTTTTTCACTTGATATCCTGGTATTGATTCCTCCTATGAGGTTTTTCAAGCAGTTCCTTATTTATGTCATTTGAGTTGTTTCCAAACCTTTGCTATCCTGAAGAGTGGTGCAATTAAAAGTTTTACCCACATGCCTTTCCTTTTTTTGCCATTAAGTGTTTGGAGTGGATTCCTAGAAGTGAGACTTTCAGATCCAAAGATATATCTGCCGTATACATATTGTCAAATTTCCCTTCATGAGAGATAAACCATCTTACCCTTCCACTAGCCTTCCCACAATGACTGGCAAATGTGTTATCACACAGATTCACCAATGTCTGATTGTTAAAGATTATTTATGCATACAGAACTGGGGAGCAGGCCAAGAGGTGCAGGGGCAGTGAGAGGATTCACCGGAGACAGTGGAGAGCAGAACGGCCTACTGAGGAAGTACAATGCTGAAGGGAGCAGTGGTAGAGGTGGGTCAAGAGCCGTCTGCCCCAGCTCGTGGATCACCTCCCTGGAGGGCAGGAATCAAACTCATGCTGAAGTGGCTTTAGCTTCTTAGTGCTATGCTTTAACACCACTGCACCACCAAGGAGGGCCCATGATTTTTTCATTTTAAAATCTTATCTCTGAGACATAGTTTTCAAGATAGTTTTAATTTGCATTTCTCTTCAGTGAAGCTGAGTGACTCAAGGGGCATTTATATTTCTTTGAGCTTATTTCTATCTAGAATGTATATGGGATTCTTGATTTTTGATGTCTATTTTAAAAGCTCCCTTTATAATAAGGTTATTAACACCTTGTATAAGTTGCAAAATTGCAGTTTTATCTTTTTCCCATATTTATATCTTTTATATTACTGTAAGAAGTATTGTTTTTATTTTTATGCACTTTATTAAGCTTTTCAGTTGTGGTTAGAACGGTTTTTCCCATTTCTAGGTTATAGAAGAATTTGCTCATGTTTTCCTTTAGTGCTTACATGGTTTCATTTTTAAATTCAGGTGTCTGTTCTGTTTGACATTTATCCTGGTTTACTATTTGAAAAGTCTCAATTTTACCTTTCTATTCCCCACGTGGCTAACCTCTTATATACCATTACATCTGGTTCAGAAGTACTCAGGAAGTTTTTATGTTTTTATTAGCTTTGATGTTCCTACTAGTCTGGAAATTCTTGTTTATAGTTGTGCTGAAGTGGTTGGAGAGCCTGCATTATAACTGTAGTGTGTTGCTGTTTTATAAACTGGATGATTTAAATGCCAGAAGGAGTACTTTGAAATAAAATGATGCAATTTATCAAGAATTTTCTCTTTGATCCATCAGTAGCTCTATGTAAATAGAAGAATATTAACCAAGATACCAGAAATTTGGTAAAATGCATTTATTTGGGTTTTTTTTTTAAGATTATTTATGTATACAGAACTGGGGTATAGGCCAGAGGTGCAGGGGCGATGAGAGGATTCACCAGAGACAGAGTGCGAAGCAGAACAGGCTGACTGCCAAAGTACACTGCTGAGGGGAGCAGCGGATGTGCTAGGAGAGGTCTGCCACGCCATGTGGGTCACCTCTGGGGCGGGGATTGAACTCCTGCTGAAGTGGCTTTAGCTTCTTAGTGCTGTGCTTTAACCCTCTGCGCCACCAGGGAGGGCCCTTATTTGGGATTTTAAGACTGCATTCTAGTGCCACACTGACACCAAAAGCCCTTGTATTGTATACTGCTTCTGCTGCTTATGAATTACATGGCTTTGGACATACCTGTATCTCTGGGCCTCAGTTTCTTTATTAAGAAGAAGTTGGAAATAGTTCAGTGTTTCTCAAACTTTAGAGACTTCCTGGCTCTTTTTGATAAACAGATACCTCCTGTTCCCTTGCACAGTTCTAATTGCCCTACCTATTTTTGACTGATATAAAAATATCCCTACCTACAACAGTCTTAGGAAGCTTTCTTTTCTCAAATACAACAAAGGGTCTTTACAGTTTCCAAATATAATGTATGTTTTTTTTTAAGATACACATGCTCCTTGAGAGTAATGTGAGCCCCAACTCCCGGCTGATTAAAGCACTTTCTAAATCTTTTGTGATTTAGAGAACTAGATTGGGAATCATGGATCTGTTATCTCAACTATGACTGAGTATGTTTTCTTCCAAAAGAAGGAACCATTAATATACAACTCTGAGGTGGATGGTGGGAATTATGCAGATCCAATTGTACATTCTTAGTGATCCCCAAGAAGCCACATCATCAAACTGTATCTCAAGTCAGAGCTTTTATATCACTTCTTTGTTGGTCCTTGGGCATCTGTAGCCCAAAAGAGGAGCTAAAGGTAGCTGCTAAATTTGGGGTAGGGACACACTGGGATTTCCTACATAGAAGCTAAACTTCTGCCTTTCCTTTTTCCTTTTATGCTGCACCACAGGCTTTCTGAACCTTGCAGTAATTTTCAATGTACTTATTTTCCTACCTCACTAGAAACTGTGAATACCAAATATAGCTCTGTGTACGTATCTGGGTAATCCCATAAAAATATAAAAGAACCTCAGGTCAGATAATGAACATTATCCTTCATTCATAATGTGGGAATATCACCCAGAATGAAAAAAAACTATTCAGTTGAACAACATAAAGTAAGATTGGGATGCAAAAAAAAAAAAAGAAAAAAAAAAGAAAACCACAAGAAAATCTCTCTCTCTTGATCTAAGGAATTTTAATATGTTCCTCACATTGAAAGATCCAACCAGGCAAGATGAAGGAAAAGCTCATATTTAAAGACATTCGGAAGAAATTTCAGGACCCCAAGAATAAAGAGCAAGTCCTAAACACTTCCAGAGGGGAAAGACAGAAGGTTCATCTTGAATTGGACCTAACCATGGTCTCACTATGCTCAGCAGCAGGAACATCTTCAGTTGTGTCCCTAATCAGCCAGGAGAGTCCCTTCCTGTCTCTGAGCTGGGCTTCACATATTCTGTAAATGAAGAGATTGGACCATATGATTCCTGTAGTCTTTTCCAGCTCTGATCTGCTATGAATTCTTGTTGCTAAACTCTCAAGCTAAGTTCACCATTGGCACTTACTGGATGAGCTCTAACTAGGGTGCGCCATGCCATGACTGCATACACAGCTGAGATTTTACTGGTTAATACTCTCATGATCATTGTGTTTACTGTCTCCATGAATCGGTCTTATTTTGTGAGGTTAGAAACAGTGTTTTCAAGTACTGTGCTCTGGAAATAGAAAGCACATAATAAGTGTTTTCTGGTTCAGTCTATCAGCAAACACTTAGCGCCTCTTCAAGACCACACACATCTTCCATGTTAGTGTTTACTAGGGTGTGAAAAATAGGATATGATATAATAAATAGTATAGTGGATATGATAAATAGCAGCACCTAGTTCTACATGAATATGATAAATAGCAGAACCATAATAACAACACAATACATAGAAATGCACAGCTAAACAAGAATGTTTAAACATTGGTTTCCTAAAATATAGAACATTTCCCAAATGCACTGCATCAGAGAGTACATTTACTTACCTTCTCAAAAAAGCGTAGTGAGTCTCTAGGTC